CAATGTAGTGGGGAAACAACCCAAACTTTCTTCTACTGAAGAGCCAGAGAGACGACATAAGGAGTCCAGTAGATGCAAGGATAGACTCCAGTTGGGAGGATTAGCATTTGAGCTCTTTATAAAGAGCACGAATTGGCCTTGAGCAGGACCAGAAGACATTCCAGGAAGAGGGGATGCAGGAGTCAAGTTAGAAAGGGAAACCATCGCAGTGTGGGAGTTAGGCCACACTGTTAGGCCGGGAGCCCCATCTGGATGGAAGTCATAGCAATGCTCCCGTGGGAAAATGCAGTGCGTACTCCAAGTACTTAACAAATGTGGCTTGGAAACACAATCAGCGTTACTAAATTGGGAATGCCTTGTTCTTTTAGAGGTAGTGGTAGCCCTATTAAAATTTATAATACTAAAGGAAAAATTATAATACTTATGACCCAAGAAGCATAGTTGGCACATTCACGTACAATTGCTATAGAAAAACCATAGACTCTTTGAAAAGAGCCAGGCTAGTACAGGGTTGACCAGTGATGTGTTTCAGAGCAGCATATTTATTGATAGGAATGAAAGTATTCCTTTCTCCTTTCTGAGGACCCTTTGTAGAATATGCATTATTAATCTAAGAAATAATTTAGAGATAAATTTTAATGTGAATCTTTCTGTACTATTCATTGTATTACTTTGAGTAACTAAAAAGACGTCTATGTTATTCAATTAATAAAAATCTCCTAGATAGCATTTCATTATTGTTAATAGATTGAACTCCACCAACAGTGTGAATTTTAAAACCAAATATGTGTTACTATATATGGGAAACCACATGTAACCAGTGGAAAGGAGACAGTTTGTTACCAGACAATGGAAGTTCTGGTACATTTTGAACCTCTTAACATGTCTCCTTGACTACTTCTCTTCATTCTTAATTTATACATTTCTTCTTTTTCCTAACTGTGTCATTTAGCATTGTATTAGCTTCCTGTGGGATGACCCAGGATGTTTTAAAGAGACCTGTGTCAGTCCTGGGCATCCCCTTGAAACATATTTGGATCCCTCTCTGAAAAGCTCCGCACATTTGAGATGGTCATTCCACTTCTCCAATGGTTGGTTCTAAATATGTAATTACCTCTAGGTCTAGAGGAAAGGATTAACAGACCTTACCCTAATTGCTTGCTTTTGTAGAGTTGTTAAAGAAGATTTGGGCTCCAAAAACAGAGGGTGTAGCCAGACAGAAGGCAGCCTGGAGTTCAAAAGTCTTGTAATCTTTGGCTCCACAGGCCTATAAAATGGAAGTGTTGACTGAATACAAACAGCCTGCAGTCTGAGAGGCCCAGGCCCAAGAAAGGAGAAAAGCCCACTGGTCATTTGAAAAGGCAGGGGGTTCCATAAGGACTCTGACTAACCCTGTTAATGGATGACCCCATTTGATTTCCCCTCCTCGTGAAAGCCAGATCTGGAGCTGTCTGCCACACAACAAAGCTTTCCTTAGCTCCCATGCTCCTGGGATTTAGGAGTAAATGAGGCCTCTTGCAAAGGCCCTGCGTGAGAGGACTAAATTGGAAATATTAGGGGGTGACGACGTGGTAGTAACACAGCCTCATTTCCCGGTGTCCTTCTTGAGGTAACGATTATAGGCTTGTACTTTGTGAGCAAGATTAAACCCAATATTAAAACCTTATTTCAGGCCAGTAGGGGCAGCAGGCTGTTCTGTTAAAGGGTGAGAGATTATTCACTTCACCTACCTGTAGTAAGGGTTACTGGAAGCCATGGAAAGGTTCACTGGGTGAGAGGGCATTTTAAAAATTAAGCTGATGTTCTTCCAAGTGGCTTCACCACTTACCATGCCCCAGCTCTCCAGGGGTGTCTTACAAATTCACTGGTTAAGCCACATATTCTACCTGACTGGTTTGTGGAATAAAAAATTGGCATACTATTTCATTTAAGAAGATGGAATATACTATCACATAATTTCTGGTTGTAAAAAAAAGATGATAGAAAGACAGATCCAGACTTAACTTATTTTTTATTAGACAGAAACAAGAAAGAACTATTGATGTGGCTCTTTTCTTTCTAAGTTGAATGTTTTTTGGTCAGCAAGCGAACTTTCAATGTGTTTTGCTACAGATCTAGTTCATACAACTTTGAAAAAAAATAATTTGGCAAGAATTTTTTTCCACTACTGACTAGTGAACTAAGGGCACTCTCCTACGGAGCTACATCTCCAGCTCTTTAAATTTTGAGACATAATCTTGCTGAGTTCTTGGACTGACTTCAAACTTGTGATTCTCCTGTCTTGGCCTCTGAAGTGTAGCTGGACAATAAATATTTTAAAATGATGCCAATGACTCTGTCCCCAACCTCTCCTTCTCAGAGGAAGATTTTTTAAAAGATAAATCTTTATTTCCATATTTTGCTATAATTTATGAAATCAGGAGTCTCCTACAATCACATTTATGCTAGTAACCCCTCTTCTTGATTGTATTTAAATTTCTGTAAAACAAACCAGGGTTTGGTAGGTGAAAACGTTGTTTGTTATTTACTTGTTGAACTTATTTGTGATCTTTTAAAAGTAAGAAAGAAATAATGTGAGGTCCAAGTTGATGAGAAGGGAGAGTTGTCATGGCAACTTTAATTATGGCTACTGTTCTCTGGATCAAACACTTCTGAATCCATTATATTTCTGGAAGTCTTTGTCTCTCCAATGATATGCCATATATCAGCAACTCTCTGATGGTCTAATCTCCCCCCATAATTTCTGTATTCATTAAACAACTTGATCTCAGAAAGTAGCCACCACCTTGTCTATTTAAAAAGTTCAGAATTTAATTCTGAACAGAATGAATGGCTACCTTGCGAAGAATTATGTCACTTTCTCATTTTTGGGACGGAAGTCTGGTAGCAACTGTTTCTCAAGTATCAGGACATCAGTGCCTCCCACCAGTAGTGCAAGCCAGAGGTACAGAAACCTTGTGGCTTGGAGGGGAGAGTTCAGAATTCAAGTCAGGGCAGTTAGGACTTGGAAAGAAATGGAGCTCCCTGTCTGATCTAGGAGCTCCTACGTGCTGGTTTATGGAACAACATAAAATTCTACTGTCTTAAAATTAATCCAATCTAACAATTTAGACAATCTTTTCAGGTTGTACTCAGTTGCTTATTTTATTCAGAACCTTGGTTTCTATTGTCCCTTGCCCTTCTCTATAGCGCTGAGTTACAGAAGTGTGTTGCTTAAGCGTGTACAGCCCAAGGGCAAAGGAGATTTGGAGGCCTTTAGGTATTAAAGTCTTCTGAGCCCCCAGGCCATGGCCACTGGTTTCCTGACTACTGAGTTTTCTTCTGGCTTTCAGAGCCATTTCTCTCTGACTCATTTCACTCTGAATCTAGGCAACAGTGAAATACAGGCTGTTTAGGAATGCTTAATCTAGGAGCATCTTTGTCTACCCGCATGGCCCTGCTGAGGTCATTCTGAGCGGCTGTGCCTCAGATCTGATCCTTGGCCAGGTGGTCTCCTTTGAACTCTAAACCAGAGGTAGCTTATCTCGGGTGCACTCCATCTGTGTAACAGCTTTCTTCTTTTACATGATGGGAACCAAGATGGGGACAACTTGGAGGCACATGTTTTCTTGTCTCTCTTTTCCTTCTCTCCCTTTCTATCCCTCTTTCACTTTTTCTCTCCCATTTGTGTCCAGAACTTTTCTCTCTCTTTTTTCCCCCCTGTATGACACTTTTTTTGTCAACCATGGAGATGGCTAGGTACCTCTTCTATACCACAGAAGCCTACGATCTGAATCTTTCACACTTACAATATGTTAACAGAAGAATAAAGTGACCTGGGAAATCTGCTCTAAATGCATTTATATGGTTTGCAAAGCTGTTGTCTTGGTGAATTATTCTATGTGTATCTCAGGAGCTAATTATTCCTCTGCTACACCCTGAATTTGTTCCTCACGAAGTACCGTGGCAGCTGCTATGTGTCACTGGAGATTTAGGGTATTTGGGGGAGTCGAGCTGAGATGTATTAGATCTTTTCCTTCTTTCTGTAGTTCCTTTGCTTCTGCAATATTCTTGGTATTTTATTAACTAAAATGGCAATAAAGTGTGGTCTTACAGTACGTGTGTTTCCTCTTTTTGATAAAAAATTCTCCTGCCTGAGATGTTCACCAGTTGTTTGGTCTCCATTTCCATCAATTAATTTTTTTCTATTATCCACTCATATTTTGTAGCACGGGTCTTAGTGAAATTATGTTTTTTCATTTGCAGACTGGTTTATATTCTATCTCTTCCATTCAAACACAAGCCCCCAAACTGGAATATTTTATCTCTGTACTCACTTTGGTATTACAGTGCCCTGAACAGGAGACACTCATATTAGGGACTCAATAAGTACTTGTTGAATAAATGAATTTATAAATAAATGGGTGGAAGAATGTTTCCATGTCCAGATTCTGCAGCAGCCTACTGTGTTTTTACTTTTTCCCTGTTAGTTCAAGGTCCCTGTTGAGTTTAACCTGGGAGAGGCTTTTTAACGATGGACAATTGTTAACAGTATTACTGCAGGTGCCTAAGCAGTCATATCCATTGGGTTAACTCTGAATTATCTTTAATTTAAGATGTTTTTTCACCTGACATTTTCAATAGTTCATGGAAAAGCTGTTTTATGGGTTTGGAGAGGTAGTATCCTGATTATAAAGCTAATGGAAGACAAAGTTACATAACACATAGTAAGCACTACATACTTTTTTTTTTTTTTGGAGCTAGGGATCAAACTCACAACCTCACATTTGCCAAGGAGACACTTAAGCCACTGAGCTAAACCCCTGGCCCCAGCACTACACCCTTTTAATAGTGTATTACTCACTCATCTATCATTAGCTCTTGGTGCCCAGCAGGACACAAAGTAAGCATCAGTAGTGTTTGTGGAATCAGCTTTGTACGAACAATGGGTTTGAAATATCCAGTTTTGCTTAAAGTCTATAGATAAATGAAGTTGCCAAACACCAGGTAAAAGTCTTACAGCTCACAGTGTGTTTATTCCAGAAAACAAACGGGACTGTCAACCCTGATCTACGTTTCTTTGTCTTAATCGAGGTCCTGTTATTGAGCCACCTCACAGCGAACGAGGAGAAGGTACGGCTGCAACTGGTTGACAGTCTCTGCCAGTAACCTAAGAAATATAAAATGGAGTTTCTCACCACTGGCATTTTGGTTTATGATGTTAAAACTAAACTCCCCCCACCCCACATGCTACTTGACTTCAAGGCAGCAGAACAGAATTATCCATAAACCAATCATAAAACCCTTGCACTGTTACATTGGTTGAGAACTTGCACACCCACTGTTGACTGACGGGTTGGCAGATTACTTAGATTTCTGCATTGAGTGGTTGATCACAGGAACTGGCCAACCATCCAGGAATAAGTCGCTGGAGGCCTGGGTCTCAGTAAACAAGACCCTTTTGCTTTCTGGTGATTATAGCCATGAGTCATCTCAGCTTTGTGCCCAGGCTGTTTGTACCCATGGAAAAGCCTCGCCTGGGTTCAGGGGCTCTGAGTATCACCACTGCCCTAGGACTATCAGTGTCTTCGAGCAGTTTGCCAGCTGTTCAGTGAAATGGTTTAATTGAGTTATTGTCTCTTACTGATGATGCCAGAAGTACAGTTTAGGGAACATTTCAGGACCACAGATTTGTTTACTTATTTTTAAAATAAATTTTATTGGTATGCTTTTGATGTATATAATGATATCATTCATCATACAGAATTTGTACCTCTACATAATATATCTTGATTCTTCTCCACCCCAATTCCCTCCCCTCCTCCTAACCCTTTTCTCCTTCCCTATTTACAAAAGTTTTGTTTCCATTTTTTACATCTATTCTTTTTTCCCTCATCCTCTACCTTGTTCTCCTTACCATTTGAAGATGTTTTTATATTTCCCAATATCTGTTATCCATTATGATCATTATTTACCCTTTCAATTTCTCACACAAGAGAAATAATGTGATAGTTAAAGAAGACTCACAGACTCAGACACAGAGTTAGGATATGTCATTATTGTTCACTGATGTTTTCCTGGCACAAAAGTTACACTAGTTTTCTATCAACTTACCGTTTATTGATAGCAGGCCACTTAAGAGTAAAAAGGGCTAATAAAGGAGCCACTCTTTTTGATTAAAAAAAGTATATTTTACTCCTATTTGGTATTTGGCACTATACTAAGTAAGCTATCATAGGTAAAGGAGAGCAAGAAATGATTTCCACTCTTGAGGAACTTATAATGTTGGATATGATTTATAGTTTGATATAAATAACATATCTTTTTACAAGAAGATAATTTAGTGTTTCGTATTTTTTGATTTGTTTTATTTTTTAGTTCTCATAAGGTTTTCTTCCCTTAGAGTGGAACATGAAGAAAGTTGATGAGATGAACTGTTGGACTTTTTTTAGTCTTTTGGAAATTGTAGCATCCTTTTATATTTCTTTTGCTCATGTAGCAAAACCACTAAAAACAGCATTGAAAATTGCATAATAGAAATGAGCGAGTTTTAGTGAAACTTAAAAAGGTAACGATTTAAACAATCAAAATATGAATTGTTGAATAGGAAGTGTATATATTTTAAGCATTTTTCGATTATATATACAGATATAGATATAGATAGATATATGATTTTATCCCTTGATTTTGAAAATACAAATAGAAAATCCTATGTGTTGAGATGTATTTTATCACTTACTGAAGTCTGTATGATTTTCAGATTTCCTTTTCATAAGCACGATATGTTAAGCTTTAGCCTCTTGGTGATTATTTTTATTTCTTAGGAAGATCCTCTTTCCACTCTTCTGCCCTTCTCCTCAGCAGAGCGAACACAGCACCTTACCAGGCTCCCTTTCCTCCTACGGCACGCTTCATCTGCCAGTTCTCTTCACTTCAGCTCAGCTTCCAAATTTAATTCATTCGTTAAGCCTATTTTTACCTTGAGACGTGAAATCTGAATGTGTCGCTAAACTATCTGAGAAAGTGCTTTTCTTTGTGCCTTTCATCTAAGGCAATGTGTGCTTTCCTAACGGTATTATTTATAGCTGTGGGCTGTGAGAACTGAACACAGACAGGCTGCCTACATCCCATGTCACTGTCTTTTTTTTTTTTTGGTTAGAGTAGTTAGTCATTAGCACTGAGTTGTTTGGTCACGCGCGAGGAGAGAGTGAACATGTAAAATTAATGTGCTTCATTCCCGCAGGGGTGGTGTGAAATCTGTGGGAGAAACTCCCAAGTGAGGTAAGCCCCAGGTACTTACTCTGCCAAGAGTTCCAGGTACATGGAGTGTGTTCATGTCACTTGCCTCACCCCCTTTTAACCTAGAAGTCTGTGCTCATGAATATATTAGTAATGACAAGCTGGCTTAGTTTGTGCCGCAGTAATAAACAGCCCCCAAAGCTCAGTGCTGTGCACATTTATCTCATGCATCACATCCTTTCCAGACTGGCTGTCCCTCCATCCCCTGTCGTCTAATGGAGCAGCCTCTATGGGGAACACTCAGTCACTGTAGCAAGAGGAAAACAGACTCAGCAAACCGCTCGCTGACTCTAAAAGCGTCTGTGTGGCAGTGACCCACATGATTTCTGGTCGTGTTTCTTTGGCTAATGCAAGCCACTTGGCTACTTCTGAGTTCCACAGGGCTGCGATACATCTCCCTGATTTTCATTTGATGGTATTCAGTAGAAAGTAGACACTTCCAGACAATGACAGAAGCTTGTAACTGAGCTTGGCAAAGAACCAGTGTCTTTTTTCTTAATACTTTTACTCCCTGGGGGTGGAGGAGTAGACATAAGGTAAAGACTGTCTTTGTTTACAACAGTAGACACTTTCTTAAGGCGTTTACATCTTCGTTATATGCTGTATCTGTATTTATTTTGTCTATTATTCTAACCCAGTCAGTTAAAAAATTAACTGTTGGAAGTTTTCACTTCTTGGTGTCTATGATTTGTCCCCTGCCTGTATATGAAGTTTCCTCCCTTACTGTGATCAGGTCTCAGACTCTAGACTCTGACTGCAATTTGTAACTCTAGACATTGCTTCTCATCCGTTAGTGCTTGCTTTTCCCAGTCCAGGTTAGATGCCTCTGTGTTTCCATAGCAAGTTGTCTTTGCATATCTTTCTCATAACACTTACCTTATGGGAGTATCATTTATCAGCCTTGTAGAAATCTAACATCATTCCTCTGTGAGGCTCAGACCCATAGCTCCACTTCTTTTTCCTCTCTTTGGGCCATGATGCTCCATCCATAGTGACTCTCTTTCTGCTCTGTGAATAAGTACAGGTTGAGACTCATGCTCATCCCTTTTTGCAAAATGGATTTATTCTACCTCTAAGAGTTGCCAAAGTTCTGACAGTTTCAGCATTGCTGGAAAGTCCAAGTCCAAAGTCTCCTCTGAGATTTAAGGCAAACTCTTAGCTGTGAGCCTATGTAAAAATGAAAAGAAAGATAAACACTGTTGATATACAAAAGCACAGGGTAATCATTTGCATTCTAAAGGGAGAAATAGAGAGATAGAAAGAATGGGGCCAAAGCAAGAACGAAATCCAGCCAGGCAAACATTAAACCCGCAGTGCCATGCACGGCACCAGAGGCAATCTGTGGCAAGATGTGCACTCCTAAGGGCTTGGGAGACCCCATTACCACCACAGCACTGCTGGTGGTGGCCTAGCCTCGTGGCTTTTTCTGGCTTTGCTCTTTCCTTGCAATTTTCTTCAGATGCCCCATGTTCCTGGCTTTTCCAACACCCTGGGGTCACCACTGCCCTGGTTTCACCCTCAGGATGTCACAAAGTGTCCTGTCAGGGCCAGACTGCCTGGCCTCCTAGGCCTTCTTCTGATCTAGGTGGAAGCCTCCCTGCTAACTCACAATCTGCACACTTGTAAAAGCAGCACCTTGTGTGTGACACCAGGGGCTGCTGCCTTCTGGAGCAGCAGCTGAGTCTTTTCGCGTCTTTCTGGTGGTTGCAGAGGCCTCTGAGAATCTGGAGGCAGACCACAGTGAGCCAAACCCTGCAGTATCAATTTCCATTCCCTAGGCCACCACCATTCTGGATCCTGGCACCATGAGATTCTCTTCACGAAGCAAAGTCTTTTGCCCTTTCACTTTTGAACCTGTAAAAGCCTTATTTTCTCATAGTTCCTCAAGATATTTTTCCTATTATCATGTTCTAGAGAACATGACTTCTTTTTAATGCTAATCTTCTCAGCAACCAAGCTCTCTTCTGCTTCAGCTCTCAACTTTACTAGTTTCCTTTTGGACTAAACTCAAAACTTTTAAGATCAATTCAATTATACCATTTGCTTTTGCTTCACTATATGGATCTGGCTAAAGCCCTACCCCTGCCATTACCGATGCTACAGCCACAACATTAGGCTACCTTGAAATTTTCTTTGCTAGATTAATTAGTCTGTCACCCTTAATCTCAGTCTCCCAGAAAATTTCAGAACATGAACAAAATGTAGAGAAATTTCCTGCCAGAGCATAGCATACATGGCCCAGAATCCAACTGCCAATGGAGTCTTTTCTTCTCAAATCAAATCTCCTGAGCCTGGTCTTTACTGGCTGTATTTCTATCAGTGTTCTGGTCTGCCCTCCAACTAGAATCTCCCCTTGAGCTCACTCACAGTATTCCAGGACTGCTTCTCCAGCTAGCATCTCTAAACTTTTCCAAAGTCTTTCTGTGAGCCAGTTCCAAAGGCTTCTGAATCACATGATCAGGTAGTGTCACAGCAATGGCATCACTTCTCTAGTAACAGAATCTTTTCTATTAGTTTTGCGTTCCTAAAACACAATACTTAACATCTACAACCAAAAGGAGAAAATGTTAATATTTACTTACTTATTTTTTGAGACAGATGTAGTGCAGGCTGGCCTTGAAACTGATCTTGAACTCATAGGTATCCTCCTGACTCAGCCTCTAAAGTGCTGGATTACATGTGTGCAGCACTGTGCCTGGCAGAAGGTATAGGTAGGGATTTCAGGTTGTAGGGATTTCAGTCCATAGTTGGCTCCAAGGCACAGTGGCATGGCCAAGTGTCATGGCAGAGGAGAGACAGCTCAAGGCATGGTAGGCAGGAAGCAGAGATAGATCAAGCAAGTAGAGGAACAAGGATAGACCTAGGGCACAGTTCCAGGGATCCACAGCTTCTGCTCAGATTCCACATTCCAACAGAAAGTCAGCTGTAACCCCCGCAGTACAATCACCCCCAAATCCACACCTATGAGTAAAACATCTACATGTACACCACACAGGCACTATAGTTAAATGTACGAGTGTCAAAGAAATATGAGAGCAGTTCAGATCCTGGCCTGTGAAGAATACCTTGTAGGTGGGTGGGAAGCTTCTCATAAAATTAACATTTCTTGAATCTGTCTATCTCTATATAATTTTAGAAATATATATGATCTGAGAAGCTCCTGTGAAGAAAAAAAAATTCCATATTCCATTCACATTCTGATTATCTGGCACTAAGAATATTTATTAAATACGGGCCTTTTGGATAAAATTATAGTTTTTCTTTAACTTCCAATGTTGCTAGAGACTGTGACAAAATCAGAGACAGTGCCTGTTCTTTGCTTTTAAAATAAGCAAACCAGAAATACCTTAGCTCAAATAGCTCAAAAACAGTACGAAAGGATTGAAATGTCACAGAGGAGCTGCTAGGATTTGGTCTGTGGGAATTTATTTGACCTGCACTTATTCCTGTGCTATTTATAGTCAAAGGCAAATATAATTTTAGGTCTCCTTTTGAAACCACAAGCGGAACTAAATGCCATTTCTGTCAGAGGCCAGAAGAAATGGGTTGGGAATAAGCTGATTCCCTACTCAATGCCTAGTACAGGGGACAGAATTCATTAAACACTGGTAAATGAATGAATGAATATGTGGATTAATGAAACAGCAACTTTAATTTTATTCTTGTAACAAGTAAGATGTCTACTAAGTCTAGCACCCAACAACAAGCACAACACATTCAGGTGCTATATTCAACATGAATTCCTGTTCAATGAATGAAGAGATAATTATATTTTTCTACCACCATGAACATTCTTGTGCACTTACACATATGTGAGACCTACATGGTCACAAGTTTTCCCTGGTTACCTTGGAGAGCAAATGGCCTGGGCAGAGCCTTATGGAGGTAGTGTGGTTAACACGGATGATTAATGCTAGGAAGGAAATAGTTTACCTTTTAGAAATAGCTCATCATGGGAAACATCTACTCTGTTCCAACTACTCCCCCATTTTAGAGATTAAGATACAGACGCTAGAAAAGTTTTTTGGAAAAGAAACAACAAGAACCATCTCAAGGTTGCACAGACAACAGAGTTAGCTGATACCACTTCTGCATGACCTAAAAGCCCAGGAATCCATTATACCTACTGCCTTTCTTTTGTGTTTATAATTCATGAGTGTGCATTAAAATTACTTAGAATTCTGCTTCCCAGAAATAGCTTCTGGTATTCTCTAGAATTTCAGCAATCATATCTAATTTCAAAGAAACACATTGAGCGTTACATACTTTTTCTTCTGAATTGTAGTTTCCTTTATTTTTTCTCTTTCTCCTAGCAATCTATTTAAACATTTTTCATAGTAGTAAGCTTTTTATCATGTACTTGAGTGACAACTCTTTCCACGTATACACCTCCGAGTAAATTCTAAACTTCTTAAAGGCAGCAATTTAAATTTTTTTTTTTTTTTTTTTTTTTTGGCCTTTTTGAGACAGGGTCTCGTTATGCAGTTCAGGCTGGGCTTGAGCTCACTTTGTAGCTCAGGCTGGTCTCGAACTCACATACAATCCTCCTACTTCAACCTCCCGAGTACTGAGATTACAGGCGTGAGCCACCATGCCTGGCTCAAATTTTTTCTTTTTTTTTTTTTTTGAGATAGAATCTCGCTATGGAGTTCAGGTCAGTTTTGAACTCACTCTGTAGCTTAAACTCATAGTGATCTTCCTGCTTCAGCCTCTCAGGTTCTGAGATCATAGACATGTGCCACCATGCCTGGCTAAAAGTTTATATCTACTATAGTGTTTACAGGAATACTGGGTATAAAATAGATAATATTTATCATCACTGTTTTTAATTATATAGTGTTTATCTTGGGACAGACACTCCAGCTGCACGGTGTGCATTCATTCACTTAGCTTTCCTAAAGAGGTATTTTGAGATAATACAGTTATTATCCCATTTTCCACATGAGGAAGTTGTCTGGGTCACTAATGGTTAGCGAGTGGCAGAGACAGATTCAAATCTGGGTGGTCTGCTCTGAAACACATACACATCACCAGCCTCCTGACTAAAACAGATGCACATTGAATACTTGTCAACTCTGAGAAGTGGAGAGTGAAGGAATTACGGGTATGCCTGGACACCTTTCATATGTAAAAGGCCACTAGCCAGCCCTATTACTTACTCCTTCAATTCTAAACTCCTCTGCCACAATTTTGAATTTTAAAAAATATTCTTCTCTCTCCAAATGTCCTCTGGGCTAGTGAGACTGCATGCATGGGCCCACCACACCACTCTCTCTTTCTGTCTTGTCTCTGTCTGAAGTCTGTCCACCTCTAAAGCACTAGCTCAGCTCCTGAGTCCCCTTCGAAGCCTAGCTGTCCCTCACAGGGCCGATCGCCCATCTCTCTCCTCTCAATTCTCCTGGCCTAATCAGTAGCCACGAATTTTGTCTTTTTCTTCATGTTTGTATTTCTTGTTGTTTCAGACTAGGTTTAGGTGGACTGCAACGGAAGAGAAGAAGTCACCTAGAAGCAAATCCTCCCTGTGGGCCCCTGGGGACAGCTAGACCCCGGCCCCTTCTGGCACATGGGCTGGGAAACCAGAAGGCCCCCTCCCCATCCCATAAGTGACTGGCTGATCCAGAGAAACACGGGCTGCAGTAATAGCTATGGAGGTGAAATGCAGTTTGATATGTGTGGTGTTTGGTGTTTCACTGACTTTGCAGGTCTACGGTTGGTGGTCTGATCATCTATTCAGAGGATAACAGTATGCAATGTGGCATCTGAAGGTGGTAGCCATTGCTAATTCACTATTATCTTGTTTTGAAGACCTGTAGCATTTTCATTGTTTTGTTGGGTTGGGTTTTATTCTGTCTCATTTTGTTTGATTTTGTTATTCCTGATGGCAGGGGCAGCTATTTCAAAGATAACAGCATATATTATGGTAGCCATTTTGGATTTACGCTTACATTGTTTTGAAGTCCTTTATTGCATTCATCGTTTTGTTTTTATTGGTCCTATTCTGTTGTGTT